AAAGAGGGCGATGTGGGGGGGGGGGGGGGGGGGGTGATTATCACTCATAGTTCGGGGCGACGTGTGACAATGAGACTGTCACAGGGCGGCTCAATGGATAGGGAGGTGAGCGAACACATACCGGCGCTCGCTCACTTCTTGACTTCTTGATCCTGTCCCTGCAGAGAGTGGTGACTGTCACTCACGGCTCCCTGGAGGGATTCCAACCCCTCCCCGCTCCGATCCTCCATCGCTGACTGGCGGAACGGACGGGGGAGGGGGCGGGTACAGCTGGCTCTGTCTCTAGATGTATTTTTAAAATTAGCGGTCATCAGCTGCTTGTGAGCCGCTGATGACAGCTATTAATTTAAAGGGGACAGTCTGCTTTACAGTTCTACTATAAGCTGATGGTCGCTATAGCGACCATCAGCTTATAGTAGAACTGTAAATGCCAGGTCCGTACGACGTACTGAGCTGGCCAGCTGGAAGCACTTTTGTAGTCCTTGGCAGCGAAAGGGTTAATATGGAGAACCCCCCCGCCACCTTCCCCCCATGGCCATTAATAAGAAATTGAACATCTCCCACTTTTCTGGGAAGGCTTCCACAAGATTTTGGAGGGTGTCTGTGGGAATTGGTCCCATGTGTGAGATCAGGTACTGATGTTGGGTGAGAAGACCCGGGCTCACATTCCAATTTATCCCAAAGGTGCTCAGTAGGGTTGAGGTCGGGGCTCTGTGCAGGACACTCGGGTTCCTCCACCAAACTGGTCCCCCCATGTCTGTATGGAGCCCTCCCTCCCCCCATGTCTGTATGGAGCTGGCTTTGTACACGGGGGACAGTCATGGGGGGGGGGGCAGAAAATGGTCTTCACCAAACTGTGACCACAAGGCTGGAAGATCCCAATTGTCTACAATGTCTTTGTATGATGGAGGAGGACCAGAACCTTCACTGGGCGGATCCAGACATAATTGTCGGGATCCGCTCCGGCTGCGGCGGTCTCAGTATACCGCGAGCTGTAGTTCCCTATATACTGAGCCTAGGGTGACGGGAGGACGCTAGTTTGTGTCCCCGAGGAGGACTATGAGGAAAAGCCCCGACCCCGTACTTCTCCTTTAACGCTCTCTAATCTTAGGGAAGAATTTCATTTGGCCTGGAAAGGAAATATACTACGAGGATTTATGGTGACCGCATGCTCACAGACGGCCGGATCCTCGCAGGAAGAATGGCTCTGCGCATGTTCTATATGAGGAGGCGTGCTCTGTAGCGCCATTCTCTGAACCGGTCACTGGTGACCCTAGTGCTGGGAACCGAGCTCGTCACCTTGACAGGTTCTCTTTACTGACTAACCAGCAATACCTGTACTGACCTGATCATAGTACTTGTTGATGTAATTGTAGAGTTCGTGCAGAGCCACCAGAGAGCTGAGGTCCGCCGCGTGAATCTGTCATGAAGAAAGCGGGACGTTAGACTGACAATAAAAAGGTGAACGCTTTCATAACGCACATGATTCAGAAAGCAGTAAAAGAGAACCTGTCACCAACTACTCACTGATCACATCACGTATGTGAAATGCTCACTCACGGCTTGCATCATGTCTGTTGGGTCTCAGTAAACATGCAATGGCAGCATATGTATCCGGCGTTTCCATGCTTTCCCATTGGCTTTTATTGGCCCCTCAATACACACCAATGGGTGGAAATACGGACCGGATCCGTTTCATGATGCCATGTATACTGTGTGTGATCCATGACTAACAATGGGATGCCAAATAACATGCGTTTTGGAACTTTCAAACACAGATGTTATGACTCGTAGATGTGAACAAGGCCTTAAAGCTCAACTCAGGGCTTAGTCCTTGCCCCCCCAATTTCCCTTTACCCCAATCTCCTCCTAACATGCTTCCTTCTATGCTTTATTATATACTTACCTTTTCTATATAACCCGGGGTTGGTCTAGTGACGCGCTGGGTCACTTTCACTTCTCCTCCGACGCTGATGGTGCGTCACTTTCTGCATTATTACACCGTGATTGAAGGGCACAATGGTGAAGCCCCCCCCAGGGGCGGGTCCATGACGACCTGTCACTTTCTGCATTATTACACCGTGATTGAAGGGCACAATGGTGAAGCCCCCCCCAGGGGCGGGTCCATGACGACCTGTCACTTTCTGCATTATTACACCGTGATTGAAGGGCACCATGGTGACGCCCCCCCAGGGGCGGGTCCATGACACCCCGCACTCACATGCTTTCCTCATTCTTTTGGGTTGATTGATGCTGGGCAGCACTCAACCTGGATGACTGAGGACATCAAGTGGCATAAAGGGCTTACTGCAGGGAGCGGAGGCGAGTATTGGACCTAGCACCTGCTAGGGGGCCATTTTAGTTTGTAGTTAGTAGGGATGCGCCGATACCGGTTTTTCAGGACCGAGAACCGATATTCTGCTTTCGGTACTCCCAACATGGAGCCGGCATCCCGGGTAATCAGGAAGCTGGCGGCGGGTAATGACATGCCGCCCAGCTTCGCGTTTGCCCAGGAAGCCGGCTCCATTGTTCGGCCGGATCGACGCAGATTGGCCAGGAATCCTACTGGCCAATCAGCATGGAGCCGGCTTCCCGGCCAATCAGGAAGCCGGGTCATTACTCGCTGGCTTCCCGATTGCCCTGGAAGCGGACTCCATGTTCCCCTGCGGCACAGCCGGTCAGAGGAAACGTTCCGGCATCGGAGCATTCCACGTTGTCCGGCGTTTATCTTTACAGGCGGAGCATCCAAATGTATTCCGAGATACGGATCTTCTCCGGGACCGATCATGTGACGATATCTTTTTGGGGAATCTCTCTAATATTGACGATTATTGCGACATCCGGACGCCACTCACCCCCGAGAGCTCAGTGAGAGAAGAATTCATTTCCTGGTAGCTGGCCGGGGTCGCTTGCTGGATGTCGGCATAGTACCTAAGAGAGAGACGATACAGACATGACGAGCACACAATGTCAGGCGTCCTCGGCGTTATCGGGGGAGTGACCCCCATTCAGGTGATATTGATGCAGAAGAGTCGGGGGGGCTGGTTGGACTTTTAATGCCGTCTTGGTCCCTTACTTCCTTATCCAGGGACCACAGGATCTCCCTTATGGATGCAGACAACAGTACAAACCGGGATTTAGCCGGGGCTCTCCTTTAAATTGTGCGTCCCCCTTATTGGATGATTTATCTTTCACTTTCTCCTCCCAAACACAGGAAAATCCTAACCGAAGCAGCAAAGGACAGCCCGAGGCTCTAACCCCTTACCCGCAATATCCAATATGAAGAGTTGTAGCTAGAGTTCTACTGAACTGAGGGTGAGGCCCCCGGATTCCTATTCAGAGGATCGGCCAGAACGTCATACAGTACAATGGCTCCTGCGAGGCCGATCTCCACAAAAATGGGACGTCCCGCATGCGAGGGAATCTGGGACTGAAGATATGCGCATAGATACAGTCCGGGGAGAGCACCAAATAAGGCAGAAGAAGAGTCCAGAAAAGTTTAAAGGAGAACTACGAGGTCAGTGTTTTCCCCCATAGTCCTCCTCGGGGACACAAACTAGCGTCCTCCCGTCACCCTAGGCTCAGTATATAGGGAGCTACAGCTCGCGGTATACTGAGACGCCGCAGCCGGAGCGGATCCCGACAATTATGTCTGGATCCGCCCAGCTGCGTGACTGACAGCTGGCTCCGCCTATCTAGAGGCTGTACCCGGCCCCTCCCCCGTCCGTTCCGTCAATCAGCGCTGGAGGATCGGGGAGCGGGGAATCCCTGCAGGGAGCCGTGAGTGACAGTCACCACTCTCTGCAGGGACATGATCGGGAAGTGAGCGAGTGACGTTATGTGTTCTCTCACCTCTCGATCTACTGAGCCGACCTGTGACAGTCTCATTGTCACACGTCACCCCGAACTATGAGGATGAGAGGAAATCCCCCCCCTCATAGTTCTCCTTTAATGCCCATGGAATGGGATCTCCAACAAGCTCATACAGTCAGGGTCGGATTTACTCTCTCTGCTGCCCCAAGGCCAGGTTCCTCAATGTGCTCCCCTGCTGCCCCTCTGCCCCCTGCTGCCCCTCTGCCCCCTGCTGCCCCGAGGCCGGGCCTTGGTTGGCCTTGTGGGAAATCCGGCCCTGCATACAAGTGTGATGGTCAGATGTGTCCATCTCATCTATCCTGCATGCAGAGAGCCGTGCATTTACTTGTTGGCCGTCAATAGGACTCGTCTGGTATCTAATCACCTCCACATATCACATAAAGGGGCAGCAGACACTTACTTCTCCACCATCTGCTTGTAGCGCGGAATTTCACGCGCGTAGAGAAGTTTATTGACGGGCGAGTCCTGAAGCGGAAGAAACGCAGGTCAGTGAATGTTCCTCTAAGCCGCCTCCCCCCATCTCCCCTTTCATACTCACTCTGCCAACCTTGTGCTCGGAGATGGTACAGGAGTCGATGAAGGTCTGAGCGATGACGGCGAGGATGGAGTCTACGTTGTCAGACACCTCGATATCGAAGACCATTTGAGGGTTTTTCAGTATGAGGACCCAGAACCTCTGCATCAGACTGCGGCCAAACAAAACAAACAGATTAAGGGCGTGTTCACACGACGTGCGTTCTGTGTGCTGACCGGCTCCGTACGCTGCTGCACTCAAAATGCATCCCAATGTATCCCTGCGTGTTTTATGGGCTCCAGTTCTCACGTGCGCAGTCCGTGCAGCTTACGACAGAAAAAATACCGCATGTCACATTTTGTCCGGTCCGGAAACGCACGAACGCGCACGAAACGCAACGAAAACGCAACGCAATGCAGCTAAGGGGGAAAAAAAGATTTTTTTTTATTCTTGCTCCACTTATTACGATGTCACCAACGTTGACAAAAAATTAACTGTCAGCATCCGGACCGAAAACGCGTCAAAAACGCACTGCATCAGCAGCTTTCTTCCAGATATGGACGGTCTCGGCGTCCCCGATCTCGTGCTTCTCCGCCATTTCATCGAGGAAGTCGAAGATATATTTGATGGCGATCGGAACGGGCCGGTTCACCCCCAACATGGCCTGGAATGTGTCATCCACAAATTTCTGCAGCGTCCCCTAGAAGAAGAAACAGGTTTAGGCTCAACTTCTGCTCCTCACAAGACCAAGCAACCACTTACCGCGCTTCCCCCGAAAATAAGACCCTGTCCTCTATATTTGATGTGCAACAATCCAAAGTTACTGCAAAATGGCAAAGGTAAGAATGTGGTGATCGGGGTGATCGGGGGCGCCGTTCCTTTCCCCCGAAAACCGAGAGGAACGGACACTACACTTCATCTGAGCCACAAATAACAGTTGGTGGAGTTGAAGAGTTAGTTGCGCCCCGTGCAGTGTCGCCGCCGGGATGGATACGGTGGGGCTTGCAGTGACGCATGGAACCCATCCTGCGCATAGGTCACTGCGTCGTCTTGAAGGAAGGGGCCCGGCATGGTCCCGAAACGTTGGCTTGTTGGACCCACGTGACGTTCTACTAACAAACCGCAGTACTTCTGGTGACCCATCCTCCATGACGCTTCTCTTTGTACGTTCCTGGGGGTCATGTGACTCTGGGCAGTATTCCCTCCGGCTCACCTTCATAGAGAGTAAACGCGTCAGGTAGATCTCAGGAATGGCTTTGGCGCGCTCCCTCTCCCTCAAACTGCTGCGCCTCCGGCACGGTTCTGGTTCCTCCATGGACTTCACCAGGTGCCACATTCTGATGCCGCCGTCCTCTCCGTCCTCCAGCATCGGAGTTTCTGTTACAGACACAGGAGCGTAGTCACCAGAGTGCGAAGAAGAGGACAAATCAAGAGGTATGAAAGCCGAGTTGCCTTCTATTCTTTTTAGTAGCCCAGGTCTGGACTCTTGTATTGTTTATGTGCCGCAGACCTGCCAACAACAGATTGATCCGGAAATAGGGATCACAAACTATTGTTGAAATACAAGAGCCTTGTATACGCTTACTTGAGACCGCTCACTGCTGCTCTCTGTCCTTGTGCAGGGTGACCGGTCTGGTCTCCGCCCCCTCCTGTAATAAAGACCAATCACTGCTGCTCTCTGTCCTTGTGCAGGGTGACCGGTCTGGTCTCCGCCCCCTCCTGTAATAAAGACCAATCACTGCTGCTCTCTCCTTGTGCAGGGTGACTGGTCTAGTCTCCGCCCCCTCCTGTAGTTTTCTGTAGTGGGTGGGGTCTGCTGGGTCCCTCCCACAACTCTGCTCTCTGCACAGGCCATATGCAGCACAGTGATGATGTCACCACTATTTTTCAGTTGCGGCAAACTTTAAAGTTACGCAAAATCTTGAGGCGCCAGTCTATCTAGCATGCCAAAAATGACCTGTGGCTCCTCCCAAAAGCTTTACCAGACCCTTATCCTAGAGAGGGGTCTGCTATGGATTCTATGGGGACCCCACACCACAAAAAGAAAACACACCAGGAGCCCCTCTTCACATCAGAGTCCTCAGCCCCCCTTCACATCAGAGTCCTCAGTCCCCCTTCACATCAGAGTCCTCAGCCCCCCTTCACATCAGAGTCCTCAGCCCCCCTTCACATCAGAGTCCTCAGCCCCCCTTCACATCAGAGTCCTCAGCCCCCCTTCACATCAGAGTCCTCAGCCCCCCTTCACATCAGAGTCCTCAGCCCCCCTTCACATCATTCAGACTCCGCCGTCCCCCTTCACATCAGAGTCCTCAGCCCCCATTCACATCAGAGTCCTCAGCCCCCCTTCACATCAGAGTCCTCAGTCCCCCTTCACATCAGAGTCCTCAGTCCCCCTTCACATCAGAGTCCTCAGTCCCCCTTCACATCAGAGTTCTTATTTATTATTGTCACCATAGTGGGGCTGCGGCAGGCCATGGAGCAGGTCTGGAGGTAGCATGCGCTTCTGCATGCAACACGCCTTGGACTAGCATCATGCATTTTCCTAGTGCTGGTGACCGGCTCGCCGCCACAATGGGAATGCATGACACTGTGCAACAAAGTAAAGGCCCCCCTGAGTAAGGCACGAGGCCCCCCTGAGTAAGGCACGAGGCCCCCCTGAGTAAGGCACGAGGCCCCCCTGAGTAAGGCACGAGGCCCCCCGGGCTATATCTCGGTGCGCACAAAGCGGATGCGTCTCCTCCGTGGCTACCGAGGAATAGATTTCAATGCCCAGAAGTCACTAAGCCATCAAATCTCTCATGAAAGCTGCTGACTCCTCCCCCCGGCTAATCCTGGAATAAGCACAGGTGACTCCTCCCCCCCGGCTAATCCTGGAATAAGCACAGGTGACTCCTCCCCCCCGGCTAATCCTGGAATAAGCACAGGTGACTCCTCCCCCCCGGCTAATCCTGGAATAAGCACAGGTGACTCCTCCCCCCCGGCTAATCCTGGAATAAGCACAGGTGACTCCACACTCCATGCTGCAATGGTCACCGGCAGGGGCAGTACTGAGCCGCCGGCACGGGGGACTTGTTGTCAGAAAGGGGCTGCAGTCTTGCCCGAAGGAAGTTCCCAATATGAAGGCGGGGCATAATAAAGAGGGGAGGGAACAATGTCGGGGTCGCACACTCACTTTCTCCACTCAGGAAGCTGCAGTTTGGCGTCTCGCACAGATTATTATGTAACCGCGGTATCAGAGCCACAGTCGCCAGATCAGGAACCTGTTCAGAGGGGAACACAGGAGTGAGACTGACACACAAGTACCACGGGTAAAGACATGCCCACACACGTGACTTATCCACACACACACGCACCCTGCACACACACACGCTCCACACACACGCTGCACACACACACACGCTGCACACACACACACGCTGCACACACACACACACCCCAACAACACACACACCCAACACACACACACACACTGCACACACCCGCTGAACACACACACACTGCACACACACACGCACGCTGCACACACGCACGCTGCACACACACACACGCACGCTGCACACACACACACACACACACACTGCACACACACACTGAACACACACACACTGCACACACACACGCACGCTGCACACACACACGCTGCACACACACACACGCACGCTGCACACACACACGCTGCACACACACACACGCACGCTGCACACACACGACTCACCTTATAATGGTGCAGAGTATTAAATCTCTTCCACTGATCCTGATCCTGCGACGTCAGGTCCTCGTCTGATAAAGTCAAATGTCCGGCTTGCCCGGCGCGCCACTCTGTGGAAATAACGCAGGACAATGCAATTCCTGGACGATAAAACAAACGCTGACCTGCGCTTATGGGGGGTGGAAAAAACCCCCCCGATATCTATGGGGGGGGGGGGGGGGGGGGGGCGGGGCAGGGTGATAAGGGAGATTTTTTTTTTTTAATGCAACTAATCGGAAAAATAAATTGGGCAACTAATCGACTATGAGAATAATCGGCCTCGATTGCAGAGCGGATCTTCGTTTACACGTGTGGTGGATTGGACGCTACATATACTGGTGATACATGAAAGATATATTTCATTCACTCTCTGATTGATATTTTGATTGGTTATATACATTGTAACGGGTGTATTATCTGATCCTGTGCAATGTATTCATTCTATAATCCAATTCCTTGGTAAAGAGCAAGATGGGGGCCGTCATTGCTGACCCCACGAGTCTGCCGTTTCTCCTTCCACTGCCCAGTCACGGGCTGGGGGAGGGGCAAGACCTGTAATCAGGTCTCTTGCCCTACCAGACAGGGGTGTGCTGTGTAGCAGACCTGTGTAAATCTCGGGACAGGACTGCAATCATTTCTGCAGGTGAGACGCCTCTCTGTGTAACTATCCCGAGCGTCCTTACCCAGATCCAGCGTGTGCGCTGCGGGCCGGAGGGAGAAGGGGGTTCCTTTGTACACATGATTCAGAATCTTCCCTTTCACTTGAGTGATGGTGTCGGTGTCCAGCACTCTGACCGGCACCCTCTGCACCTCCGTCCCGTTCTTCACTATAACGGTGAGCGTCATCGGCCGGTACTCGATGTCCTCCCGCAGGAGACGCCCGTCGTTCAGGGTGCGCTTGGCCTTCCCCGTCACGGCGTCCACCGGGCCCTTATCCACCTGATACTTGATGGCGCTGTACAGCATGTAGAGAGGTTCTGCCGCCGCCTCCTGCGTGGAGAGGAACATAGAACACACGTGTCACATCTCGGGGGGGAGAGACGGCTCAGATATACACGCAGCACACAAGAAGCCAATTCACATCTATTGCTCAGGTTGTCACCTCCAAAGGAACAGCAAACCAGCATTTTAGACTTTTTATGTAATCCCCGCGGGACCAACTGCATATAGCACATGGTCCCGTCCTGATCTGTGACTCCAAGTGTATATAGCACATGGTCCCGTCCTGATCTGTGACTCCAAGTGTATATAGCACATGGTCCCGTCCTGATCTGTGACTCCAAGTGTATATAGCACATGGTCCCGTCCTGATCTGTGACTCCAAGTGTATATAGCACATGGTCCCGTCCTGATCGCTGACTCCAAGTGTATATAGCACATGGTCCCGTCCTGATCTGTGACTCCAAGTGTATATAGCACATGGTCCCGTCCTGATCTGTGACTCCAAGTGTATATAGCACATGGTCCCGTCCTGATCTGTGACTCCAAGTGTATATAGCACATGGTCCCGTCCTGATCGCTGACTCCAAGTGCATATAGCACATGGTCCCGTCCTGATCTGTGACTCCAAGTGTATATAGCACATGGTCCCGTCCTGATCGCTGACTCCAAGTGTATATAGCACATGGTCCCGTCCTGATCGCTGACTCCAGGTGGATGTAAAGCACCTCATGTCAATGATGGCTGTGATCCTATAGGACTTAAATTAAAACCAATATGTACATGTATGATAAAACTAGGGATGCACCGATACCAATACTAGTATTGGTACTGATACCAGTATCGGTACCAGTATCGGTGCCGATACCGAGTGTTTGGGAAAGTACAAATGCTCCGATGCCTAGCCCGATACTTCATACATCAGGAAGCCGGGCAACACGTCATTACACGCTGCTTGGCTTCCTGATTGGCCGGGAACCCGGCTCCATGCACCCTCGTCATGAGATGATTATGGATCTGGCTTTCTGGCCAATCAGGAAGCAGGGCGCCGCGTCATTACACGGCGCCCGGCTTCCATGATTGGACCTAGTGATGAGAAGCATGGAGGCGGCTTCCTTGTTAATCGGGAAGCCGGGTGGCGAGTCATTACACACTACTTGGCTTCCTGAATGGGACTTCCGGTATCGGTATTTGGTATCGGTGAGTACCGGGAAATATATATCAGTACTCGGTACCAAAATACCGGTATCGGTGCGTCCGTAGATAAAACACACACTGGATAGTTCTATAATCATAAAAAGCAGGTCCTGCCACAGTCCTCCCATCGCACTCTGAAGAGCGGTTCCTGTATTGCGCAATGACCTAGAACTGTGAAGTGGGCCGGCGAGGGAAATGGATGTTCTGGATTCTCAGGCACTGACCCGGAGAAAGGAATGCAGACAGATGGACATCCAGTTGGTCAGCAGCTTCTCCACGATGGTCTCCGTCCTGCAAAGACACAAAGCTGCCATGTTATTCCTCCAGCACTCTATGGTTAGAGGGAACATCATATCTGAGGCTGCGCGCTGCAATCACCAGTAAGATGTTCTGACGCGGTGTACCGGATGTATTTACAGAGAATGTGCAAATGTTTGCTTTATAAACCCCCCCGGGGGGGCTTACACGGTAGCGATCAATAATCCTTTATTAGGAATGCACCAATACGCTTTCCTCCTGACCGAGTACCGATACTTCTCAAGTACTCGCCGATACCAATTATTAGGGATTCACCGATACCACTTTTTTAAGACCGAGTACGAGTACCGATACTTTTGATCAAGTACTCACCGATACCAATTACCGATACTTTTTCTTAAAGGGTCACATTTTTTCTAAAGCAATACAAACTAATGCTTTAAGGTCACTTTCTTAATATTATGATTCGTGAGATGACGAGGGAGCGTGACGCCGGCTTCCCGGCCAATCAGAACGTCATTGCACGGTGCCCGGCTTCCGGATTTGCTAGCTTCCTGACGAAGCGGGAAGTCGGGCAGCGCGTCATTGCACGCTACCCAGCTTCCTGATTGGCCGGGAAGTCGGCTCCATGCTCTGTCATCACAAGTGACGAGAGAGCATGGAGCCGTTTCCCGGCCAATCAGGAAGCCGGGCAGCGTGTAATGGTGCGCTGCCCG